ACAATAACGCGCCATCTATATACAGCAAATGAAAACATTGAGTGACTGATTAATGTGTGAAAGTTACGTTCGCCTCTTAATGTTTTCATTTGCTGTATATAGATGGCTTTGTATATATTTGACCCTGTCTAAAAGCTCCATAGAACAGAAAGATTAGTGCCCTTGAGGTAAGAGAAGGTTGACATGGTAATAATTGGAATGACAATGGAATGGAAAATTTAAGGTAACTTCCCCAAATTGATAAAACTTCAAACAATTCCTCAAACTTTCCTTAGAGGAAACCCAAATATCTTGTATTTCCAATTCTTTATTCCTCAATAAATGGTGAATGACGTCAGGCAATTACTTAATCAATAAAAATGTGTGTCTTTCTCTCTGGAATTTTCTCTTAAATTGGATATAATTTTCCGCATTATCTTTTTAACAAATCAGCACAATAGACGCAACACAGATGATCGATCCAAATTGAAAAAATGTCTATCTTAATCTCCACTTTCTGTAGAAAACTGATATATTTACTTCTACCAAATGAAAATATTAAGACGCGAATGTCTTTTCACAAATAAATCAAACTTCTATTGTCCTTACTGCGATTTAAAAATATTGGGAGGACTTGGTTCATCAGTGGTGAACCTTCCCATCGGTTTCGCCAATTTAATATATCAGACCGCTTTTCTTTAGAACTCTAATATTGCATTGGATCATTCTGCTTTTATATACTACATTGAAGGTTGGAATCTTAGAAATGATATTTAAGCAAACTATGAACATAATCTTTTAGGACAGTAAGGACAGTAGAAGTTTGATTTATTGGTGAAAAGAAACATTCGCGTCTTAATGTTTTCATTTGTTATATATAGATGGCGCGTTATTGCTTTGTATGTTTACTTCTGTTTACCCATCTGGAAGAATCTTGTATGGGACGAGGGATATTCTTCTTTACTCCGGTATCTTGGACCTTTTCGACATCAGGGAGTGAACTATGCCTGCCGCCTCATATACCAGTTTTGTTGCGGTCATTAGTATAATTAATATGCAGTAAAACTCTCATGAACAACCCATCTGAAGACCTTCCACTCTAAGAGACCACTATTCTCTCTGAAACAAACATCTCTATACATAATAAACAATGGGAAATATTTACAAATATTTTCTTTTGAAAGGGCGAGCTTTCACGCAGTTTCACTTATCAACGGGCTAATGGATCAGCAAAGGCGAGTGCAACATATAATCTCTATTAATAAAAATAAATATAAAAGTTAATAATTGAAAAGTTGTAACTGCAGAGGAAGTTGTAGGAGAGAATGTCAATGGAATGATCTTTGTATAAATAATGGCTTTAGCATGCGCCCATTTTTGATCTTTGAGTTGTTTAAATATGTGTAAATAGAATTTTCCTATATCTTCCATACCTTTCATATTATAATTATGTGTATTTGAATTTTCTATCGTTTGCCATACCTTTCAATAAATTGTTACGTATATAAGTAGAAGCCAAATATATCTGAGCAAAGATATCGCCCTTGATATGCTGTGAGCGGATTAAACTTTTTACCTTGGAAAGAATGACAGTGTGGGTCGCTGAAAAGATGGGAAATAAAGTTGAAAGGTGATGTGTTTTCATCTTTAGTTTAAGAGTACCTGAAATGTTGGGAAATAAAGTTGAAGGAAGTGTTGATGAGTTTTTTTTTTCATCTTTAGTTTAAGAGTACCTGACATGTGTTGTGAAATAAGTTTGAAGAAAGTGTTGATGGGTTTTCATCTTCAGTTTAAGAGTACCTGAATGTATTGTGAAATAAGTTTGAAGAAAGTGTTGATGGGTTTTCATCTTCAGTTTAAGAGTACCTGAATGTATTGCGAAATAAGTTTGAAGAAAGTGTTGATGGGTTTTCATCTTCAGTTTAAGAGTAACTGAATGTGTTGTGAAATAAAGTTGGAGAAAGTGTTGATGAGTTTTCATCTTTAGTTTAAGAGTACCTGAAATGTTGGAAAATAAATTTAAAGAAAGTGTTGATGTGTTTTATATTTAGTTTAAGAGTACCTGAAATGTGTTGGGAAATAAAGTCGAAGAAAGTGTTGATGAGTTTTCATCTTTAGTTTAAGAGTACCTTAAATGTTGGGAAATAAAGTTGAAGGAAGTGTTAATGTGTTTTCATCTTCAGTTTAAGAGTAACTGAATGTGTTGTGAAATAAAGTTGGAGAAAGTGTTGATGAGTTTTCATCTTTAGTTTAAGAGTACCTGAAATGTTGGAAAATAAAGTTAAAGAAAGTGATGATGTGCTTTCATCTTCAGTTTAAGAGTACCTGAATGTGTTGTGAATTAAGGTTGAAGAAAGTGTTGATGGGTTTTCATCTTCAGTTTAAGAGTACCTGAATGTATTGTGAAATAAGGTTGAAGAAAGTGTTGATGAGTTTTCATCTTTAGTTTAAGAGTACCTGAAATGTTGGAAAATAAATTTAAAGAAAGTGTTGATGTGTTTTTATCTTTAGTTTAAGAGTACCTGAAATGTGTTGGGAAATAAAGTCGAAGAAAGTGTTGATGAGTTTTCATCTTTAGTTTAAGAGTACCTTAAATGTAGGGAAATAAAGTTGAAGGAAGTGTTGATGAGTTTTTTTCATCTTCAGTTTAAGAGTACCTGAATGTATTGTGAAATAAGGTTGAAGAAAGTGTTAATGTGTTTTTACCTTTAGTTTAAGAGTATCTTAAATATATGTTGAGAAATAAAGAAATTATTGATGTGTTTTCGTCTTTACAGAGTTTGAGAGTACCTGAAATGTGATGGGAAATAAGGTTGAAGAAAGTATTGATGTGTTTTCGTCTTCAGTTTAAGAGTACCTGAAATGTGTTGGGAAATAAAGAAAGTGAAAGTGTTGATGTGTTATTTATCTTTAGTTTAAGTTCTAAAAAGAGTCAACCCCCCCCCCCCGAAACATGCTGGTAGTTTAAATAATGGTTAGATATAGCCTTATGCGAAGTTCTTGCCTTAGGCAGGTATTCCTAACAAAAAGTATGTTCTTATCTAGAGATAAAAAAAAAACAGAAGAGCTGGGTAATACTTGGTATGTTTGGGTTCAACAATTCTTGGGATGTCCCTAAAATGAATTTACAATGTAAATAAGCCTCATTATAATTTTTACATTAGTCTAACAATGAAGACGTTCTATCCATCAAGCTCAAGAGCCTTGACTCTAGACAAGCAGGCGGTTGTTAGAGAAGTGAAGGCCAAACTGACATAAAAGGGAAGTACTGTGTTTACCGACCTCAGACGATTATGTGCACTTGGCGCCCATTACTCTGTTAGTTTTTGACTCGCCTTGAGGTCTTACTATTTGTTCTTTTGGTTTATATATTGTCTTTTGGTTTCTTACTACACCGTTACTATTACATGGCGCGGATCTTTCTTTCTGCAATATTTCTGTCAATATTTTTGGAATCCTTACATTAGATTTCTTTTATTTTAAGATTAGTCGAGGTGGTTGAGCTTGCGCAACTTTCGACATGAAAGATATGTAATTATAGATATACGCTTTACAGCGATATTCCGTTTAACGACAAGTCCGCATCGACGACGAAGCCTTTGAAGTAAAAAAATAATAAAGAATTTGGAAGCTTTCTGAGTCTGAAAACATATACATTTTCAAGTGAAGATGAAGCAAGTATATTTTTGGAATGTTGGCGATAATGATTTTCCCAGTGAGAACATTTTATAAATAAACCTGTATAGAGAGATCAATATTGTTTTATAAATAGAGAGCAACCCATACTTAAATCGTTAGGTGATAAAAAAGGCATATATTGGATTGAATAAAAATATTTTTATTACCTAAGAGATCATCATTGTTGCATCATGGTTAATGCGTCTATTTTTAATAATAATTTCTAATATTATTTTTCATATATTTTGAATTCTAATTTTAAATAATTTTATATTTATTTATTTTTATAATACATATTATGTATTATAAATATATAATATACTATAAAATCATTATTTGTATTTTGAAACACTGTGATTACACAACGCTTTAAACTTTGATATGATAAACAAAAAATAATTGTTGGTGCTACCTAAAAACATAGTTCCACACTGCCAACCGTAGAGCATGTGCTCTTCACCTGCCCAGCATTTCAACTACAGCGATTTCAAACGGCTACACTTCTTGGACTGTCCTTATTCAATGATACTGCCTTATTGAAATTACCAAGAAACAAACCGGCCTGGAAACACTTGGTGAACTGGTTCACTAAGGCTATCAAAACAGACTCCTAAACTGCAGGACAGCCCGGGTAGTTTGCGATCTACGGATATGTTCCAGGAGCCTGGGTTACCTAGTTGTTACTACTACCAAAATATAGTTGCCTTATTTTATTGACTTTTCGAAGCTTGTAGGATGGTTGAAACAAGCTCTGACAGGACATGTCTGAGTATAAAATAAAGGTTGAGGAACCTGCCAGACCACAGCCTGGTGCAACAATATATACCAATATATAAACCAATATATACCTATATTATTGACTTATCTAAGCTTATAAGATGGCTGAAACACACTCTGGAAAGTTGCAGGACATGTCTGAGGAGAAAATAAAGGGTGACGACCCTGCCAGACCACAATTTTGTGCAACAATATATACCAATATAAATCTATATAAACCAATGTATAATCTTAACAGCGTTTATATGTTTCTATGTACTCCTGTAAAAGGGCAGAGATGCCCGAAAGTTCGAGATTACGTTTAATAAAGAAACTCATCTCCAGAACCTGTAGCATTTGTTTGATCAATACCTAGTATTGATATTAAATTAATATACACCAATATATACTAATATAAATCAATATATATATAGTTAATTTATAATGCAATATAATGCGGCTATGCTTATAGAACGACGTTTAACAAGTTTTACCGCAAATGTTTCTTAAACGTCGTTCTATAAGCATAGCCGCATTATATTGTATTATAAATTAACTTTATAAAAGATTTACGAACGGAAAAATATGTCCCGAGGGTAGCTTAGTGGACATGGCATCTGCCCGGTAAGCGGAACACTGTGGGTTTGATTCCCATCCCTGGACACTTTTATTTTTCCGTTCATCATTACTCTTCACAATTCATCCTTTCATACTTCATCCTTAAGGGTAGGAATAGTCGTTATTTCTCCTTAAATAATGAAAATTACGATTTTTCGTTCTGTAAAAAGAAACATTTGCGGTAAAACTTGTTAAACGTCGTTAATAAATCAATATATACTAATATATAATATAAACCATTATGTATATAATAATTATAGCTGAAGTTAGGTCAGTCTGAGAACTCGCCCCAATCTCCCTCCATCCAGCCTCTCGTGTTAGACTGCCTTCATTATTGTGAAGTTTACGTGGGATTATTTGTCAGAGTAAGTTCCCTCGTCTTTCTCTATTAGCATCTGTCTTGATGTCAGCCACAGACCGAGCTTTATATAAGAACAACCCCTGTACCTCACCAAACCTCTGGGATTAGCGAGTTGTATTCCAATGAACAAAAGCGCAGATAGCGTAACTAATGAGGCGGCCCAAGGGTAGGATTTAGGTTAAAGATCTGCCGCCATTATCACTGATTAGGGTTAGTATCGTGGCAGTTTGTTGACATTGGGACACTTTGGTGACACCAGAGAAAATTTCGCTTTAGTTACATTTGATTCTTGATTTATAATACATACCATATTTATTACAAAACCACATGAAAAATAAATATTTTCCGTTACCAAATACCGAATACTATTCTGGTATAGTAGAACCTATTTAAAAAGAAAACACCTAGTTCCAGAGCCAAAGTGTCCTTTAGGAGAGGTGTCCCCATACCAGAGATTTACTAATTAGTAAAAATTGTCTTTTTTATATTATAGAAACTGTCCTTTGTAGACAGGTGTTCTCTAGCTAGAGTGTCCAATACTGTAAATAGATGTTCGCGTTCAAGGAAGGTCATAAATGTTTTTTTTTTGTCTTGATATATATAATGAATATTTTCTTTTGGCCGAGGTGTCAATTTTATACCAAGTATTTTGATTACATTGCTATTCCTCCTATTAACAGTAGTGATGATAGATATTCATTTAAATTTCATCGTCATCCTTTAAGGCAGGGGTCTCCAAACTACGGCCCGAGGGCCACATCCGGCCCGCAGACAGATTTTGTCCGGCCCGCGGAGACATACTTGAAAACTCCTTTTAGAGAACAAATATTTTTTATAGCAAATAAAATGTTTGTGATAAGTTGGATAAAGAAACACAGAATGGTAATGAGTAAAGACATGTATAATTTATGCAGTAAATTTAACTTCAGCATATAATAACTAACAAATTATTGAAATGAATCCAACTTACATTTTATACATTGTAAGTAATGAACAACACATACCTTATAACATGACATATGAAATGCTAATGAGATGTATGTAATTGAGATTTTCCACCGACAATAGTTTGTAGTTGTGGACTAATTTTACTTGTACCAATTATTAAAAGAGATTTAAGATGCTCGTCAGTTAATTTAGATCTGTATACATTTTTTGTGTACTTCATTTTGGAGAAGGTTTTCTCACACAAATAAGTAGTACCAAAAACGGAAAACAGCCCACGAGCAAATTTATGCAAATTATCAAATTGTGTCAGTGGAAGACTCTTATAAAATTCCAACAAAGATGAGTTTTCATATTTGTTCTTAATTATATCACTGCACTGAAGATCAATCATTTCCATTTGAAGTTCCGGGGCTAGGGTTTCAATTTCAGCATCAAAAGGATTCTGAAAAATCTTAATTTGATTCGCAATGGCATCAAAGTCCGAGAAACGAGTATCAAAATTTATCTTCAAAGCACTCAAAGTTTCGATTGCAAAATCGATAGGAAACTCAGTCTCAGTAGTGTGGCTGAATATTTCACATGTTTTAAAATGTGAAAAACATTTACTTCGTAGTTGTGATTGAAACAGTATCAATTTCATCCGGAATGACTTGATATTAGTGTATAAATCAGGAAGATGCTGGTTTTCTCCTTGCAATCTCAAATTCAGTTCGTTCACATGTTTTGTCAAATCAACATAGAATGCTAACTTCCATAGCCATGCGTTGTTTTGTAATTCAGTAAGAGGGCGGTGCTTATCATTCAAAAAAATTTCGATCACTGCTCGAAGTTCAAAAAAGCGCTGAAGGACTTTCCCACAACTAAGCCAGCGTACGGCAGTATGATAAGGTAAGTCTGTTTCTCCAATCTCTGCAATAAATTGTCGGAATTGTCGGTGATTCAGCCCAAAAGATCTGATGAAATTAACAGTTGATATGAATGGTTTCAGAACGTCAGACATATCCAAACATTTTCCGCACAAAGACTGTTGATGAATGATACAATGTAAGACTAATGGTTTTGTGTGAGCCGCCGTCATTTTCTACAGCCTTTGACACAAGAGCGACCACTCCTTTATCTTTCCCACTCATGTTTTTGCCTCCATCAGTTGTAATACATTTCAAGTTTTTCCATCGAAGGTTCTTTTTATTAATGGCCATTTCAACTCCTTTAAAAATATCGGTACCAGTAGTTGTGCCATGAATACTATACATATCAAGATGTTCTTCGTGCACTTCATAGCTTTTATCTACTCCTCTAATATAAATCAACACCTGAGCAGTATCTGACACATCCGTTGACTCATCCAAGGCCAAAGAAAACCACTCAACATGTCCATTTTTGTCGAACAGTTGAGAGGATATATTTTCAGCAATGTTTTCTACCCTTCGAGCCACAGTGTTTGCTGACATACTGACAGTTTTTAATAAATTTACCTTTTCAGGGCACATTTCTTCGACTACTGCAATTATGCATTCCTTGATCATTTCTACATCGGTGAATGGTTTTCCACGTTTTGCAATTTCAAGAGCCACACGAAAGCTGGCACGAGTTGCCGCCTCTTGTTCAGTTTTGACTTTTGTAAATAAAGATTGCTGCGATTTCAATCCGCGCTTCAAAGCTTCGAATTTTTCTGTCCGCACAATTCCTGTATATTTTGAGTAATTTTGAGAATGTTTTGTTTCATAATGACGTTTCATGTTATATTCTTTGAGAACGGCTATGCTTTCATTGCAAATCAAACATAGCGCCTTGTTACTGGACTCAATTACGAAATACTGAATGTTCCACTGATTTTTGAATTTTCTGCATTCACTATCAATTTTTCGCTTCTTTTCCATTCTGCTAAATCACACACAAAAGCAACAATTAATAATAACATTTAATAACAAATAAACATAACAATTAATACAGGAAAATTAATAATATGCAGTGTTGCCATCTTGGCCCTCGGAACTTACTGGAGTAATCAGTATGGCCCTAAGGCTGGAAAGTTTGGATACCCCTGCTTTAAGGCCCTCAACTATTTGCATATCGGCGCTGAATTTCCTATAAAACTCTATTTATTTATAAATCCAATTGCCATATTTAGATAAAATGTGTAACTAATAAATTTACTGGCAATGTGTTTCTTTAAATAATATCACCAAATATTATCTCTGTGCAGACCCTACTGCAATGATATAAGTTATTGAATTAGAGGGCTTGGCTCATCAGTAGTGAATCCTCTCAGCGGTTTCGCAAAATTAATCTCTGGCCTAGAGGTTAAATTTATTTGTTAAACATTTTATCGATAGATAGCAATTTAATTTATAAATTTAATTTATACTAATATATATTTCATATATAGATGGCGCTCTGCCATCTAAAAAGCACATGTGCTCGTGGTCAGGAGATGCCTTCTTTATTTTTAATATATATTTGTTTAGAAACCATATTTGTGGAAGGGCTTTGCTCGATGAAATACCTTGATATTATATGTATGTACCTCTACAGACTCATAAGTTTATGTCCAAAGGTTTACTTAACACCCCTAAGCTGCCTCCCATAGAAAATGCAGGGTATATTCCAAACCAATCCAATACAATAGTAGAGCGGTCTAGAGATTAATTTGAATTAATTAAAAATTAAATTAAATTTTAAAAACTGGAGTATAACGAACCATATATTCTTCAATTAATTGCGGTATTAATTATACATAGTATTATGTTTAAATATATATATATATTATAATTTTAAAATTGTGCAGACTGTGCACTTTTGCATGTATTGACACAATAGGTAAATAAAATTATGTTAATTGTCTATCGATATATATTTAGATAATAAAAAAGGCATATATTGGCTCTGGCATAGAGATCTAGATCCAACAGGTCCTCACTGCCGGGAAGAGTCACAGACTGTGGATCACCTCCTCTTTTCCTGTCCAGCTTTTATGCTACACAGGCTACAGACAGCCCTTCTGCTTGGAGTACAAGACTTCAGCCCGAAAGCCCTGCCCCTACTTCCTGACTCCCTGCCGGCCTGGAACTACCTGGTTACCTGGTTCACCTCAGCAATCTGCCCTCCCCATAACTAGACTTTTCTTCTAGACTGCTATACAGCCCGGGTAGTTGGCGATTTATGCTCCAGGAGCCCGGGTTACCTCTATTTTCTCTCTCTTCTCTCTATTGAATTGAATAAAAGATTTATTTGCCAATATATGCCTTTTTATTATCTAAAGATTTAAATATGGATTGCTCTATTTTCAGATCTTGATATATATATGAGAAAACAATAGAAAAAAATAAATAGGTCAGGTGTTGATATTAAAAATATCGAAGGCATATCCTGACCAAAAGCACATGTGCTTTTTAGATGGCAGAGCGCCATCTAGTGGAGCCAAATAAACTAAACCTTTATTTAACTTGCTCCGTGATATTTGGCCAACCCAATTTCTTGATAAATCAAGAAAAAGCGCTGACGAGCGCCAACAGCGCGAAACACGTTCGTGGATGGCTTTTCTTGATTTATCAAGAAATTGAGTTGGCCAAAAATCACGGAGCAAGTTAAGTAAACGTTTAGTTTATTTTTGCGCCACTAGATGGCACTCTGCCATCTAAAAACCACATGTGCTTTTGGTCAGGAAATGCCTTAACAAATTTTAATATCAACACCTGACTTTTTCTATTGTTTTCTCATGTGTTAAGCGTTTTTGC